ACATTGTGATAAGTTTTTGGAGGTTATATGCATATGATATAATTGTCCATGATATATGATGAAATGATTGAAAAGAAATGTTAATATGTGCTTATTGAAATATTGACATTGTAATGATTTATGGAATTTATATGCTTATGATATGAATTGCCATGGAACATGTAGACATGTGGTTTAAATTGCTCAATGGACATTCATTACCTTAGGCATGATGTTGGTAGTGCAATGGTTCATACATTGCATATGCATGGAGAACACATCGCATTTCATGGGTGTGAGTGCATGGTTGGATCAATCACCATACTTGGTGTTTTGATGGGTGGGCTTGAAAAAGTGGGCTTGAATATCCTACTAAGTCGCACGGTTGCATGCATAAAAAACTTGTATTGAGTATAGCAAGAAGTGATAGATCCCCCCTCGGGTGCAAGGCCCGACCACTGGTTTATACACTTCCTACGATGCAAGTCCAAAAAAGTGTATCAGTGTGTGGAGCCGGCAGTGCAACACCAAAAGTCCACTGCCCAAATAAAGACACATGATTTTTGGTTATATAAATGATTCATTTGATGGAAAATATCCAGAAATGAATTGGTTTTATAAACACTTGACTTTTATCTTCAAAGATGATCATTGGATGTATTTCATCAATGACAAAGATTTTTACACTTGCATTGCATAGTGTGGAGTGAGCTGGTGAGGGCTCGGATTGATGTGCATGAATGAATCTCATTTCATTCATGGCATGACATGGTAGATTCCAACATGAACATGTATATTCTTATTTGGAATGATTGTGTGAATGGTGAATGTTGTATGTGAACATTGCATGTACACTTAGGTGGGGAATAGCTTATGTAGGACTTACTCTAATGGGCGTGGCTCACCCTATATGGGAAAATATTTCAGGTGCGGGATATATGCCGATGGACGGCTCTCATTCGGGGCCACAAGGGTGAAGAAAGCTGAATTGTGGCTCTTATAACTCCTTTCGTAAAACTTTTGGAGCAAACTAGTTCTGACATGTAGTTTTATGTAAGAGAGTTGTAATTGAACTCGTATGGACTATTTTTAATATAACCTTGCATGTTTTTGTATGAGTATGGATGAATGAACCTGGTGTGACCAATTTTTACTCATAAATGGACCCGGTGCGGTCATTGTTCCATATTGAGCCTCAGATGGGTCATATGAATGTATATTGTACATGTTGGGTTTTGGGTAGAGCTCTCCGTACAAAGGAGACTTTGTCCGAATTTTGTTAAATTATGAATTCTGGTAAATGGGACATTACGGCGCGATATCGAGTTACTCGATATCCACGGGTATTCCGCAGGTTGACGGGTGATCAACCGACCCTCGAATTTTGGGGTGTCACAATTGTCATTCTTTTTTGTAATTGAATTTAGTAATGTCTCTGTTTTTTTTGTTGAATCTGTATGTTGTCACTCTACTTGGCAGGTTTACTCCCTTTAGCATATGCGGTGGTCAATTCAGAGAATGACTAATTGGTATTAGTTCTTACAATAATTGTTAGTGGTTTTGGATCTTGAGTGAGAGCTTACATTTGTGTTTGATCGCAATGCTAGGTTGTTGGAAGCTATGCTCAAGGTTTTTTAGAGGTGCCACCATGCTTTTTATTTGCAGCATTTGAAGGCAAACTTGAGGGACAAGTTTAGCGGGTCTCGGTTTTCAAATGTCATGAGAAATTATCTGGTAATTTTGTTTCGTGAGTGTGCATATGCTCCAACAATTTCAATATTTAAGAGTAGGATTGAAGCTTTAAGACGTGAAGTTGGACCCAACGTGGATAGATTCTTGGATAATCTTCCTTATGAAAACTGGGCAAATTCTCATTTTAAAGGCAACCGTTATGGTGAGATACAGTGGAGTCATTTAATGCTTGGATAATTAAGACACGAAATTTACTGATCACAAGCATGGTGGGCACTATAAGGGAATAGATCATGAATTAGATGGGATGCAGGTTGGCTACATCCTACACATGGAAAGAAAATTTGTGTCCTGATATGGAATCTAAATTACATATTTTATTTGTTGAAGGCAGTTCTTGGTCTGCGAGGGATTCAAGCAACACAGTATATGAAGTCAACTCACATCCTTCAGTTTCTGTTGACATTCAGAATGGAACGTGCACATTTTTTTAGTGGCAAATTAATGACTTTCCTTATTCTCATACGATAGCTGCGATACGTAAAAATGAGAGGAATATGAAAGAGTTTGGAGATTATTAATATGTGAGCATATGTAAGAAATCATTTTCTGAAGCTATATTTTCTATCCCAACTCTTGGTTGTCCAGATTTTTCGGTGGACGAAGCAAAGATATTGTCATCATCATCTAAGAAATAGCCAGACAAACCAAAGAAATGTAGAATAAGGTCACGGGGTGAACTTGTTTGGCAAATTCGATGTGGTCGTTGTGGGCGGTTAGTAAGCCATAACAAAAAAACCTAGAATGAGCCTTTGTGATTGGATTACTGTTTCAAATTAAGGTTTTTCTAGTGCTCATTTAGTTTTATTGATGTGAGTTTTTTTTTAATTCCATAAAAAGTTATCTCCAAAAATAAAAAAATTTATGACAACAAAGAGTGTCAACTAATAGTTACTTATAAACTAAAAGTAGACCAATACAATATGTATAAAATAAGTGATACCACATATTAAAATATATATTGGTATCAAAGAGTGGCACCAAAAAAGGAACGCGAATATATTACATGCAAATAGTGTCATTAAAGAGACAGGAGATAGTGAGAATGGATACCAGTTAGTGGCATTATATAATGCCCCTTAATAGTGCTCAAATAGTGTCTCTAAAGAGTGACAATAACAGATGGACTTCAAAATAATGGCAATATATATTTTCATCAAAGAATGACAGTAAAAAAGGGGTACGAAAATATTGATATGCTACTAGTGTCACCAAAGAGTGACAGGATATAGTGAGAATGACACCAAGCAGTGGCATCACATAATGCCGTCTAATAGTGCTCAAATAGTGTCATTAAAAAGTGCCAACAATAGATTAACCCCAAATAGTGGAAATACATACCGCTATCAAAGAATGACATCAAAAGAGGGACAAGAAATATTTCTATGCAAATAGTGTCACCAAAAAGTGACAAAAGATAATGACAATGGGCATCAATCAATTTCATTATATAATGTCTCCTAATAGTGTCCAAATAGTGTTACTAAAGAGTGAACAATAGATTGACCCCAAATAATGACAATATATATTACCATCAAAGAGTTACACCCTCAAAATATTGCTATACAAATTGTATCACCAAAAAGAGACAGAAAATAAGAAAAATAAATTAATGCAAAATATAGACACTATGAACAAAAAATCATTAGAAAAATGGGAAACATGAAATATTATGCTTAAATTTGGAAAAATATTATGCTTATTAATTTATTTACTAAATAGTGTCCCTAAAAAGTGACCCCATTAATTTTTTGGCCAAGTATGTTTGAACCCTATGAACTAATACAACTTGTACCATTTGAAACAGTGACAGGAAATATTGATACAATATAGTGACAGTAAATAGTGGTAGGAAATAGAGTTTCTAAAAAATAATAACATTAAATGGTAGTCCCATATAGAGTCTCACCAAATACATAAGTTGGAAAAATTGAATGTTAATAAAAGTGTTCTTCAAACCCAAAAATTGAAACCCTAAAATTTGAATCTTAAATTACATTTCAAAAATTGGCAAGTCAAAGTATGGATATATATGCAATAAACCCTCAACATTCAACTATATCCAATTAATCTTTAACTCCATATTTTGTCTTTAGTTTCTTCTATTTATTGAAATCTTCTTCAGTCCAAGATTTGGAATTGTTTAAGAACAGTTCAATCATTTCTGATCAGAATTGTTTCACCTATGCTGCTGTTAAATTTTGTTGTATTTCTTCGCTAAGTGTTATTTTCCTCATTATGTAGCAACATATAGGCCACAGTTGACATTGCATTATGTGTATTTTTTCGGTATCAATATGTGTGTTTTTATCATTCACAAAGCATTATGTTAAATACATACGAGTTTGATCTTTATTGTGGACAATTGTCGGACGAATGAATTGGAAGAACTTTATCTTGAGTGTCGACTAACATTCTATTTGACATTTGCATATCCATCTTTTGTTCAACATAATATTTATGTATTTCAAAATAAGCAATAATTAATTGAAATGTTGCAACATAAAATGATATATATGGTTATTTGATCACCAATATGGTTGTATCTTTGACCCAAACGTCCCTAATGCCACTTCTTGGTTTTAATGAATTGTAGTGTGTCCAACGGTCACCATCAATATCCAATACTAGAAGTGTCCAATGGTTTGGCTATCCATCGTTGCTTTCACTGGTTGAATTCATAAGAAATATGAGGTATTAACACTTTCTCCCAAGTAGGAGGGTATTGTCAATTTCAACTTCACATGCATAAAGCTAGCTGTGAGGAAGTCACCAAGGTCTACAATTTTTGTCAAATGGATGATTAAATATGTGATAGATGCATATTTCAAAATATTTGTAATATTTCTATAATCATTCATTTCATTCCAACTTACCCTTCAAAGATTGTTGAAGAAAAAACAATATCTCTTAAATGTTGATTGTTCGTTGGCTTCATCAAATTCATGCAACATATCGACCCAACAATCTATTATCTATAACAATATAACATGGCTAAAATAAGAACCATCACTTTCAAATCATCTTCAACATTTATATAGCATCCCACAGACATTCCGGGCTATACTATTGACCTACATAGTTATAACGCGATTATACTTAAAAAATGAAAGAATAACAACATACACAAAATATTGAAAACCAGTCCCCAAAAGATAAACAAGATTCCCAATCTGTCTTAGAAACATATAAATGATACAATACACTTACATAGTTTATTTGTTTTGTCTTAATTTTTTGTATATGGATGGATCTATTGACCGACAAACTTTCCACAACCTTTTCATCTCTCTTTCATACTTTTCTTTCTCTTGCCTCTCTCTTGTCTTCCTTGATGAATCAACAACGGTGATAATGTCATTGGATGTTTCCATGAGTTCCTTAGTTTTTTTCTTCAAGCTGTACTCATAGTTTGCATCCCTTTTCCTCTTCCTCTCCTTTGCTTTTAGCTTTCGAACCATTGACGTTTTACCTTTCTTCAAATCCATTGGATCTCTTTTGTTTTCCTCAACTTCTTGTCCTCTTACAGTAGATTTGTTCTTTCCTTTATCTTCAGCACTATGTGGAAGTAGTTCTAGAATATGAGCAGTCTCATATTTTTGGGTTATGACATGAACAAACAACTTATTAATCTGTTCTATCATCTCTTCGTTTTCTACTTAAGTTATGTCACGATCTGTTTCAGTTTTACATTCTCTGCCTCTGATGTGTCATTTTATTTCCTCCTTTCTTGAATTGAACCCTCAAGATCTAATATTTATATGTCCTGATCAATCAATTTCAACATGAATTATGTGACTTGAGTCGCCATGAAAGAATAAAATGATTGGTTGTCTTGTTGCAATCTAGAATGTCATGACAACAAATAGTAAAATATAGTACAATCAAAGAGTGACACTAAATAGATTCAACCTACAATTTTCAAACAAAGGTTAACCCCACATAGTCACCCCAAAGAGTAAAACCAAAGTAAACACACCAAATAATTGCAACATATACTGATACCATAAACAAAAGTTGGTTAAAAGTACAATAAACCTTTCAATTAATTGCAACAAACTGTTCAAATGACTGATTTTGTGTCGAGTTGCTGAGAATCACATCAACTAGAGTATCTAATGGCCTCATTTGCTACTTATCTTCTCATGTATTGTCCCCTATATCATAATCAAAATGTTCTTCTTCATCAAGCTCATTGCCCTTATGATCAACTGGGTAGTTTGCTATTTTTCCTTCACAATTTCATTCCTCTCAATCCCATCAACTTGTTTCCCTTTTCCTTTGTAATCCTTCACGATATGATAAACAACTTTTCTTTTTTTTTGCTCTCTTCTATTTTTTCTTCATCACTTGCAAACAAACAGCGGTATCAACAACAATAATAAATTTTTTAAACATTTGGTATTCTTAGATTTTAACCTGTAAACGAATACTAAAACTTACGTCTTTGGCCTTGATTTTTTTCCAACTTTTTGTGTTTGATTGCCATGCTCTGGTGTGTTAAGTTCCATTTGAGAAACCTTGAAATTTTTTTCGAGCAATCTGGTGTAATAATTGATGTATGCTCGCAAATCCAAAACTGCAATATTTAATTTCAACATTAAAACCAATTTGTGATGTTTATAAAAGAACAAGGAAAGTAAATTGAACATACAGCTTTTAATTAAACCACTAACCGGGATTACAAGGATGCATCCAATGACAATGTCAGGTGTCTCTCTCTCTCTCTCTCTCTCTTTTTTTTTTTTTTGGTAAGGGATGAAATCAGTGCATTAAGTATTAATTGAGACCAGTTATATTTTTTAATCTTATCTAGATCCTCTATGTATGGAACATACCCCTAGTTTAGAGTGTGCCCCTTCGTGAGGAAAAAAATAGTGACTAACAATTAAAGATACAGTAATTTGGCAACATCCTCGAAATCATTTTATGTGCCAACTCTTGATGCTTGGGTAAGTTTACTCTTTATAATTTGTGCTATCAACCTTCGATCATTTTTAAATCTCCGTTCAACAAATGGAGTCAACACTCTCCCACTTAATGTTGAGTCAATTTCCTCAAAACTGTCTTGAATACTAAATATCAGACTCACATCATTTCTCTGCATTTTTACTTCTTCGACCCTTATACAAAATTTGGAAGTGTTGCCACTGAAACATAAAATTATCTCAAGGATAATTTTGTCATTTTTTCTGAACCATTTTTTGTCAACATGTTTGTCTATAATGCTCTCAAATAACAACCAAAATGGGGTCTTCTTCAACGTTCTCTTGTGCTCTTCGTTGAAAATAATTTCATCCATTAACCTTATAATGACAATCATATTTATCCACATTCTGAGGTTGTTCAGATTCTTGTTCTTCGACTGCTTCCTTACACTTGAACTCATTTTTTTTTGCTGATCACAACTGTGTTTTTGTCATGCCCTTGTATAGTGTCATCGTATACTGTAACTATATTACAATAAGTAAAATCAAAATCAACATCGAAGAATCGAATTCAATAATATAGATATAATATATTTAACATTCATGGAAAACAAATGTATTTACGTTTTGAGATTTTCCAAGGAAGAGAAAATTTAAAATAGGTTATTTTCAAAAAACCCAAAATCAACGTCAAAGAGCTACAAATTATTAAAAGAGATTCACCATACAGTAAACCATGCCTTCAATTTCTGAAACTATTATACTTCATGTAAAACGAATGCATTTAACATTAAGAAGCAAATTTAAAGACATTCTCACTAAAACTAGGGTTCTGTATTTTATGTTTTCGGATTTTTTAACTAAGAAAAAATTTAAAATAGGTGATTTTTAAAAAACCCAAATCTACATCGAATATTTTCGAATTCTCAAAAGAGATTCACCATACACAACACAATAACTACAATTTTTGAAACTTTTAAAATTCATGGAAAACGAATATATTTAACATTAAGAAGCAAATTTAAAGACATTCTCACTAAAATTAGGGTTATGTATTTTTTGTTTTTGGATTTTTCAACTAAGAAAAATTTTCAAATAAGTGATTTTTCAAAAATCAAAATCAATGTTAAAGAGTTTCGAATTATCAAAAGAGATTCACCATATAATAACATCATGTCTACAGTTTCTGAAACTCTTATAATTCATGGAAAATGAATGTATTTAACATTAAGACGCAAATTTAAAGACATAAAATTAGGGTTATGTATTTTATGTTTTCAAAATTTTCAATTAAAAAAGAATTTAAAATAGGTGATTTTCAAAAAAAGTCAATTTAGATCGAATATCTTTGAATTCTCAAAACAGATTCACCATACAGTAACATGTCTATAGCTTTTGAAACTCTAATAATTCTAGGAAAACAAATGTATTTAACATTAAGAAGCAAATTTAAAGACTCTCTCACTAAAATTAATGTTGTGTATTTTATATTTTTGTATTTTTTAAGTAAGAAAAAATTTCAAATAGGTGATTATCCAAAAACCAAAATCAACGTCAAAGTGTTTCGAATTCTCGAAAGAGATTCACCATACAGTAACGACATGCCTACAGTTTCATGGAACTCTTATAATTCATGAAAATCTAATGTATTTAACATCAAGATGGAAATTTAATGACATTCTCACTAAAATTAGGACTATGTATTTTATGTTTTCGGATTTTTAAACAAGAAAAAATTTAAAATAAGTGATTTTCCAAAAACCAAAATAAAAGTCAAAGAACTTCAAATTCTCAATAGAGATTCACCATACAGTAACACCATACATACAGATATTGAAACTCTTATAATTCATAGAAAACAAATGTATTTAACATTAAAAAGAAAATTTAAAGACATTCTCACTAAAATTAGGGCTCTGCATTTTATGTTTTTGGATTTTTCAAGTAAGAAAAAAATTTAAAATTGGTGATTTTTCAAAAACCAAAATCAAAGTTGAAGAGCTTCAAATTCTCAATAGAAATTCACCATACAATAACACCATGTCTACGGATACTGAAAATCTTATAATTCATAGAAAATGAATGTATTTAATATTAAAAAACAAATTTAAAGACATTCTCACTAAAATTAGAATTGTGTATTTTATGTTTTTGGATTTTTCAAGTAAGAAAAAATTCAAAATAGGTGATTTTTCAAAAACCAAAATCAATATTGAAGAGTTTCAAATTCTCAATATAGATTCACAATATAATAACACCATACCTACAAATAGCGAAACTTTTATAATTCATGTAAAATGAATGTATTTAACATTAAAAAGAAAATTTAAAGCTCTCACTAAAATTAAGGCTGTGTATTTTATGCATTTTTATTTTTTAAGCAAGAAAAAATTTGTAATATGTGATTTTCTTATCACTAATGCTATTGAGACATAATTTGGGGACATAATGAGTTATCAAACTAAAGATTATATCCCAATATCATTGCTCTTTTCTTATTGTTGGAGATGCCCATTGACGCCAAACTAAAGATTCCTAATAATTCCGGCTAAATAAAGCCGAATTTAATTTTTCAAACAAATTAGGGCTTAATCTCTTTTCTATTTTGGGGATTTTTCAAGTAATAAACCAAAAAAAAAAATTTAAATAGTTTAAACTAATACCATTAGAAATGAGAAACACAAATACTTTGGCGAAGGAGCACAAAGATTCTGGCGAAGAGCTTCCCAAATGTCGTGGGAATACTAAATCAACGTCAAAAACCTTCTCTTTCCTTCTCCATATACATGATCTCGAATGTAAGAACACTGGAATTTTTTTTTTTACTGTAATCCACGATTCCTGTGACGGTAATAATGGTGAATCCAAGACTCTGACCATTGTAAAACAATGGTTCCGGTGACTGTATTTGATGATATGAAAGATACATACAAATATGGAAGATGTATTTGACGATATAGATTGAAATCCCTAACTCTTTGAAATTCAAAAAATTTTAAGAATGGTTTGATTTTGGAAACTGACATTAATGGCTCATTGATCCAACGACCCACCTCTTGCCCCACAACAAGCTCACCAATACCATCGCAAAATTAGGCTTTTTAGTTTCTCGTTAGAGTATAACATTGACCTTGTATATTTCTCACCACCACCTTAATCAATGCCCTCCAATCCAGGTTCACTAAACATTTGGACAATCAAAGGTCGATTTATGATTCATTGACACACTGACAAAGACTCCATCCCTCCTCCACCCCCATTGTTTCTCTACCACCCATCTTAGCACTCTTATCATAATTCACGAAAAAATTCAAGCTTGCTACATTGTCTCTCCTTCCAAGTAGTGTACGTTCTCTTCACACTAGATTGTGACTCCACTGCTCTCCAGCTGGAATTGGTGTAGAGTAGCCCAAATGGATTTTAAATTAGACATTATTTGGCCTTTGGTTCAGGCTTCCAAAAGGTCTCATCAATGCATAGACAACATCAAGTGTATCTCTTAAGTTTTTGAATACTTTTTTTCGTTTTTCTAAGTGAGAGGACCATATATGGATGTGGATCATGGAAAATAATTAACACTTCAAATTGTATGGGTACCACAAAAATGCATAATTAAAGCACAAACAGGACTTATTCTCCTTTTCAACTGCACAAAAAAAATTGTCCCCCTAGAGAGCTTGAAGCACTTAATGGTAGGTGTTTCCTTCATTGATGCTAGCATTTTGTCTGTTTGAACCTAATGGCTCCAAGTTGAAAAATACAGTAGTACAAATGTTGCAAAAGCCTACCTCATTTTTTCCTTACAGCAAAATTCATTAACGAATGCGTTCCATGGTTAGTGTGAGAACTTTGGCGACTTGAAACAAGCTGCTTTCCATACGAGGTTGGCATATTCTGGATGATCAACAAAAGGATTTCTGTTGTGCTGGTAGAGCCTGCATATCCTGTCATTTCTAAGTCTCTCTTCCCTAGAGGGTGGATCCACTTCATTCCACCTTAACAATGTAGAAAGCAAACCCATCTCCTTGTTCACTACATAAAACAGGTACACAAATGTTTATTAACTTCAGATAAATTTGGGGGAAAACGTCAAAACTAATAAATTTCTTCTCAGTACACAGCACTATAAAATACTTAAGAAGTCAACTGCAGAATCTCATGAGATAGCGGGACAAGCAAGTTGAGCTTAGGAGAGAGATATGAAGAAAACTTAAAAGTTTTGTTTTTGCTATTTCTTTCTTAAAAACTTCATCTAGGTTGCAGTCATGGTATTATTACAGGAAAATCATTGTATCATAATGATGGCAAAAATAACATATAAAAATGAAAGCTTTGATGAAGATCAGTCAAAAGACTCACTTTTCTTATCAATCTCGTATTATGTTTACATGGAAATAAAAAACTAGTAGTTTAATTCTAGAATGCAAGCACAAAATGTGGTATACATAAAATAATCGCCCAACAGAAGTAAAAAATTATAAAAAGACTTATAATATTTTATATTTAGATTGGTCTACAGGTAGACAAAGAGATCCCTTTTTAGGATGTAGTAATGCTTGTAAGAACATCAGATGCAAGGCGATTGGCGAAGCATATATTGAAGATTACATTTAAATTTAACATTTTAGGATTTAAGCATTATTCATGTTGTTTTCATTTCATATTTCAACCTTTTGAGAGAAGCCTACAAATACTAGGCTTATTATAAGTGGACTTAGTTTTATGCCATTGAATATTGATTACAGAACATGAATTTTTCTTTCTCAAAGGAATCTCTTTCTATTTCAGTCTTTTCTCTTTTCTCTTTTCTCTTTTCTCTCTCTTCTCTCTCTTAATTTCTTCCTTGCTGGGTCCGCATCACCCCCTCCTCGCAACCCCTGTACTTGTACAGGATCTTACTGATTTTGTTTGTCCTTTCTCTATCAAGTGTATAAAAAATTTCCTAATGGTAGAATGATTAAAACAAACATGGGAGCAGGGATGAAGATTATATAAAAAGACGAAAGAACACACCGAATGCCAAAAATTTCTTGCTTCCCAGCAACACTTTGTTCCTTAGATTTACAGAATAGAATATATGTACCCCGGGACTGCTTTGAAATTCTATTTGAAAACATAATAAATAAATGTATTTACTTCATTTGCTGATCATCTGTAGAATATGAAACTAACAAAGCTTATATTTATGCATCTCATACACTTGTTTATATCAAGTATAGAAGTGCAAACAAAAAGAGCATTCCAGCAGAAAGTTCAGAATAACCTAAAGGTTAGTCAAAATATGGAATTAGTATTATATATAGTTGAAATCTCAAAGTGTTATTTTTAAGGGTGTAAGGTTTAGAGAATGAAGAGAAATAATATGAGAGAGAGGTAAAGTGTAGTCAAAGAACTTACCCTACGTCTCACTATCAATTGGTAAACACAAAAAGACTAGTATACCCTTAGAAAGGTATACTTATTACAACTATATAAAATATAATAATAATACTTTCAACACTCCCCCTAAAGCTGGAGTATATATATTATATAATCAAACCTTGGAACAAATCACTATAAGACGAGTGCACTTTCATGCATTGGTAAATATATCTATAAGCTGATCTTTAGATTTCACAAATGATGTTGCAATATCTCCATTCAATATTTTGTCTCAAATAAAGTGGCAATCAACTTCAATATGTTTGATTCGCTCATGGAATACGGGATTAGCAATAATATGAATAGCTGTCTATTTCACAAAATAACTAGAAGGAAAGCTGGACTGAAAAACCAATCTCCTGAAGAAAGTGTCGTAACCATGTCAACCGGTGGCATGTGCCATTGCCCTAAACTCATCCTCGACACTGGACCGTATTACCATTGTTTGTTTTTCACTTTTCTATGTAACCATATTCAGAAGGTACAATATTTAGTGGTTAATCTTCGACCCGAGGGTGAGCTAGCACAATCAGTATTTGTAAAACCTTCTACTTTAAGATGTCCATTAGTTTGATACAATAAGCCCAATCCAGGAGCACGTTTAAAGTAGCAAAGAATGCAGATGAGTGCATTCCAATGTAGTATTCTCGGGCATCCCATAAAAGGGCTCACAACACTAACTCTCATATGCAATATCTGGTTGGGTAATAGTGAGATAATTTAACTTCCCAACCAACCAACGATACCGATCGTGATTTTCAAACAAAGCACCATCATCCATCAATGTCTTCTAATTAGGATTCATAGGAGCATAGCATGTCGAGTACATACTTTCGCTAAGACAAACAAATGTCATTCTTAGACATGACAATTTCAATAACCAAGAAATACCTAAGTTTGTCTAGGTTTTTAGTATAGAATCGATCCTAGAGAAAGGTACTCGGTCTTATAGCTCTTTACCTATAGTCTCAGTCGATGATCATGGATGACGAGGGTATCCATAGAGTGGGCTGAGGTGGTGAAGAGGGTGGTAGTACAGTGGGTTGGGGAATGACAGACAGTAAGGGAAGACAAAGGTGAAAGGGATTGAGCAAAGTCCAGGTTCAGAGGAGGATTAGGAACTGGGAAATAGGGGTCCGATTCAGTGAAAGTGACATCAACACTAGTGAAGTATCGGTAGAGGATGGAACTATAGCACTAGTACTCCTTTTGCTAAAGTGCGCGAGTCACTCCCAGCAGATGACCATTTTTACTCTACCACACCATTTTATTGTGAAGTATGGACATATGATGTTTGATGGAAAATGCTAGTCTTACAAAGATAAGTAGAAAAATGGTCAGATTTGTTTTCACGAGCATTATTAGAACATAAAATACGAATACAACCACCATACTGGGTTTTAATTTCCTTACAAAATGTCTGAAATATAGAAAGCAATTCAGAACAAATTTCCATAAAAAATAATTAAGTCACATGAGAATAATCATCCATAAATGACACAAAATAAGGATATTTATTAGGTAAAATATTTTTTATTGGACCCCATACATCAGAATGTACAAACTCAAATGGACTCCACACATGATTATTGACTCTAGACTGAAATAACATACGGTGATACTTACTAAGTTGGCAAGCTTCGTAATACATAGAAAACATATCCACTAAAACTAAGAACTTGACGCTTCAGATCCTTTAGGGAGGGATAACCAAGTGATTCTTCTTCTTCTTCTAATGATGATGATGATGATAATAACGTTGATACTTATGGTGGTGGTGGTGGTGGTGGTGGTAGTAGTAATGATGATGATAATGCTAGTAATCATGGTAGAGATAATGATGAGGGCAACAAGAGTGATAGTAGAGGGATTACTGGAGATGGTGGTGATACTCAGCTAGCTGGCGATAAGTTTTGGGCACAGGGGTAAGACAATTATTATGCTACACAGGATACAGACCATAGATATCAACCGGGGCAATGAAACAACGGAGGAATTTAAACTCCTCTATTGGTGATGATTATTCCAATAGACTCCACCATCATTCACTTGGTAGGCAGGATATTGATGATGATATGCAGAGTTTGGGATTGACATCATATGAATGATACATGCCTTACGGACATCATTAAAGTAATGGTATAGAATATAGGTATGGACATGGATTATATGGATATGGTATCCCTTCATAGCTTGCGAGGTCTACTAGTACTAATAGTGCTAGGCATTATGGTCATCGCCCTACGCATTTTAAGAGATCTACTATTACTAGTATTGGTGGCTACTATGATCGTGTTCCAAGGAGACATGATGGATCTTCTAACACATTAGATAGTGTCAACTTTTATGGATATGATCAGTCTTTTGCTAGTAGTGGCCATGAATATCATGGTTTTAGGTACTATCAACATGGGAACCGGCCAGTACAACCTCCACAGTCACACTACTTAGATTATGGGTCATCTAGCCAATCAACTCAACCAACCTAATCAGACTTGTATTCACACTTGTATTCTTATCCTTATGGTAGACATTATCCTAATTTGTATTATCCTAGAGACAATAACGACGAGTTTGAGCCTTATCGTCATTCAATATGGCAATGGTTATGGTTCAATATGTTCCTAAATTCCTACGTTAAACATTGATAATGATAATTATTTTCGGTAGCGATTTTATGTTTCATTTTAATTATGTTTAATGTGTTTTGGGATGCATTATGGACATATGATGCATGAATGATGATATTTATATTTTTAGAATTTTTTCAAATTTTTTTGGAATTCCTATCTTACGTTTTGAGTGTATCGGTTGATACCGCGACGCGATGCTGCGACCGATGTGTATCAGCACCATTCGAGTTGGTGGCCGATACCGCAACTTTGAACTATGGTTTAACCTGATACGTTTGACACCCCTAGTCAATACTTTCGGGTTAGATATGTATCTTATTGAATTTTTTGGTACAAAAAATAGTTTCCCCACTTGCTTTTATGAAATTTGTTAATATTACTTTGGCATAAATAAGACTGAGGGAATTACCTTATATCTCCCCGTCATGTAAGCTAGTTAGGTAAGTTGTTCACATGTCCCCAAGGTTTAGAAAGAAAGACAAAAATGTTAGTTATTTAGTGTGCTAGGGCAGACATATACCCCAGATTCTAAAGTAAGGCACATTCCTGCATGCAAAGGGATGGCTGTGCATTGTAATATAAGAACAACTGAAGACCATGTCATTGTGCACAACATTATAAGTAAATGATGGTCAACTCCCTCAACTGTTCAAACAACTGGTAGACAGGCGGTTACAATCACTAGTATATGACATGGAAAATTTTTGCATAACAGAAAAATATAAATTGCCTCGAAAAATGCCATGACCAGGCCAAAAGATTTAGTTCTCTCTCTCTCTCTCTCTTGATCTGGGTAAATGAGGTCGAATCTCCCATGGTCTAGTTCATAAACTATTTACCTCGATACACTGCTCATCCAGAGTGATTCTTTCAACACACAGGTCGAGCACAAGCAGACGGATCCAACCAGAGAGAGAGAGAGAGAGATTATAGGTTATTTGAACATACCTGTGCTTGGAGAATCAGAGAGGTTGAGATCTATGCCTCCACCTGATTGATGAAAGCCATAACACACTGCCATGTACATTAATGCCCTTGCAATATCCCCTCTAACCTGAATTCAGAATGTAGATAAAATGCTCAGGTACATAAATAGAAATGCTGGAAGAAGGCCAAATAAAAATATAAATCACAAGACTAAAAGCAGGACATGGGTTTTACGGAGTTCCAAGGTGGCCAAATTCAAGTAGAAGAAACCATGAATAGCCGAGTAATTATTCTGCAATCAAGGGCTAGGAGAAAAGTGAAGGCAAGGCCAGAAATTCACATTGGTATACAAGAGGCCAGAATAAAAAATAAAAAATAGCTAATATTTCCCCCTGTTTCCTCATATTGGGCTCTTGTTAAACCTAAAATGCTCACTTTGTAAACGGTATGCATGAATGCTCAAATATCAATATAATGAGAGCTTGTACCCCACATCGAATAATTAGGACCACCCAAGGTTGATTTATATACTTGAGACTTGAGAGGCTACTCGTCTTCATTCCTTGTCAATTGGTTTTTTGTTAGATGCTCTAACATGGTATCAGAGGTGAGCCTTAGGAAGTCACTAAATCAAGTGTCTTACCAATTGAACTTTTCGGTATGTATGGTTGTTTGTTGCTAGTTAGCCAGATCTCACATGAGGGAGGGTGTAAAGAGAACATGTATCCCACATCGAATAATTAGGACCAGGTTTATAAACTTTATATGGCTACTCCACTCATAACCAATTGGTTTTGGGTTGGATACTCTAACATAATTAGGATATACGATCAAATTCCATCCAATTTTACAGTAAGCAAAAATTAATATGCACATGAGAAATTGTAGGTCTTAAGGAGTGTTAACAATACACTAAATCGACAATGACATTATCATTTCTTACATTGGATTTGACCTTGTTAAGTTTGGAGGATTAACATAATATTAGAGACAAAGAGAGAGGTTTAAAACTTAACCTAGCTCTCATACATCTTTGTATTTATAGTTGACCTACAATAATAAGAATTACACATACACCCTCTTACTATTAACAATTTACACATACTACCCTACTATTCTTAACACTCCCCCTCAAGCTGGACTATATATATCATATAATCCAAGCTTGGAACAAATAGCTGTAAGACGTGTACGACTCAATGCTTTAGTAAACATATCTGCAAGTTGATCTTCAGATTTCACAAATGGAGTTGTAATCTCCCCGGCTACTATCTTGTCCCGAATAAAGTGACAATCAACTTCAATATGCTTGGTAAAACACACGATTGACAACAATATGGATAGCTGTCTGGTTGTCACAGAACAACTGCAAAGGAAGTTGAACAAAAAACCCAATTTCGTAGAGGAAGTGTAGTAGCCACGTCAACTCACTCGTTGTATGTATCATTGCCCTATACTCAGCCTCAGCACTGGATCTTGCTACCACGGGTTGTTTTTTACTTTTCCAGGAGACAACATTACCTCCTAAGAAAGTACAATAACCAGTGGTTGATCTCCGATCAAAAAGAGAGTCAGCCCAATTAGTATTTAAGAAACCTTCTACTCTAAGATGTCCATTAGCTCGATATAACAGTCCAAGTCCAGGAGCACGTTTAAAATATCGCAGTATACGAGTAACTGCCTCCCAATGTGGTACTCTAGGACATCCCATGAACTGACTTACTATACTGACTATATAGGAAATATCCGATCGAGTAATAATGAGATAATTAAGCTTCCCAACTTATCTGCGATACCGACCCGGATTCTCAAATAATACACCATCATCCATCAATAATTTCTAATTCGAATCTGCAGGAACATCAACCGTTCTACCACCCAGCAATCCTACTTCCTTAAGCATGTCAAGTACATATTTTCTCTGAGATAAACAAATACCCTGTTTAGATCGAGCCACTTCAATACCCAAGAAATACCTGAGTTTTCCCAAATCCTTAGTATGAAATCGATCCTGTAAGAATATTTTTAACTTGACAATCTCCTCATAATCATTTCCAGTAATCACAATATCATCTACATAGACCACCAATAGGACATATCCAGCATCTGTCTGTCTATGAAACATAGAATGATCTTTCTGACATCGAAGAAGACCAAACTCTAAAACTACATCTGAAAACTTACCAAACCATGCCCTTGGTGACTGCTTCAAACCATACAAAGATTTTTTTAACCGACATACACTCTTACCATACTCCCCCTGAGCAGTAAACCCAGGTAGCTGCTCCATGTATACCTCTTCAACCAAGTCACCATGTAAGAAGACATTTTTTACGTCTAACTAAAACAAGGGTCAATCAAGATTAGCAGCCAAAGAAAACAAGATAAGAACAAAGGAAATTTTGGCAACAGGAGAAAAAGTCTCCTTATAATCAACGCTATAAGTTTGAGTAAAATCCTTTGCAACAAGCCGGACTTTGAGACGCTCTACAGAACCATCTGGATGATATTTAATAGTATACACCCAACGACAGCCAATAGTTCGTTTACTAGAGGGTAAAGGAACGAGATCTCAAGTCCCATTATGATGTAAAGCATCCATCTCCTCCTCTATAACTTTCCTCTAACCCAGATCAGATAATGCATCCTGTAAATGTTTAGGAATAGATATAGTAGATAATTGGGAAGTAAAACAGGAGAAGACAGAAGATAAGGCATCATATGAAATAAAATGAGAAATGGGATGATTAGCAACACACGAACGAGTACCTTTGCGAAGAGCAATAGCTAAAGAGTCTAAATTACTTGATGTACCAAGATTAGAAGGCGGCAAAGAAGACGGTACGGGCACCTCAGTCGATGGGCGAGGACGGCGAGAGTAGCCACGGAGATGTAAAGTAGATGGTAACACAGTGGACAGCGGAATATCTGAAGATGAAGAAAGAAATGGTGGTACCGGAGAGGATCTAAAGTCTAGATCCAAAGGCTGAGAAGGTGCTGGAAAGTATGGAACAGACTCTTCAAACGTGACATCGGCACTAGTAAAGTATCGGTGCAGAAAAGGACTATAGCAACGATACCCCTTCTGCGTGCGGGAGTAACCAAGAAATACACATTTGGTTGCTCGAGGGTCAAGTTTGTCAAACCTAGAACCCAAATTGTGAACATAACAGATACAACCAAAAACCTTAGGAGCCAGGAAAAATAAAGGCTTACCGGGAAAAAGAACAGAATATGGACTTTGCCCATTTAACAAAGAGGATGACATATGATTAATAAGATGATAAGCAGTAAGAACAACATCACTCCAATAATATTGGAGAATATTTATCTGGAATAACAGGGCACGAGTGATTTCCAACAAATGACGGTTTCTTGCGTTCAGCAACACCATTTTGTGGAGATGTGTAAGCACAAAAAGTCTGATGAATAATACCAGTTTTACTAAAATACGTTGAAAAGGGATCAGATTCATATTCCCGAGCATTATCGGAACGTAAAGTATGTATACGACAACCAAACTGAATTTTTATTTTCTTACAAAAAGTCTCAAAGATAGAGAATAACTCAAACCGAGCTTTCATCAAAAATAACCAAGTCACACGAGAATAGTCATCTACAAATGTCACAAAATAAGAATATTTATTAGAGAAAATATTCTTTATTAGACCCCGCAGTGTTTTGAAAAGTGCGCCTAGGCGAGAAGCGAGGCGAGACGAGGGTATCTCGCCTAGAGGACTCCTGGCGAAACGAACGTGGCTGAAGCGAGCAAAAAAGCGACAGGCGACAAGGCAAGCGCCTTAATAGTCCCAGGCATTTTTTTGTTATTTTGATTATGGGTCGTTGATTAGGCAAATGGAAAAAAATTTTTACGACATGGATATACTGAATTATTCCCTTACCCTATAAATACAACCCAAACTTAATTTTTTTTTCAGATTGTCTTCGCTGGAGCTGGAGTGCTGGACCATCGCCGGAGCTGCTAGACCATCGCTGGACACAAGGAACACGATTGCTGCACTATTGACCACTGCTGTTGCTTCCTCACCGACACAAAGAATAGGTTAGTCTCTTCTTCTTCTCCTCTCTTCTATTTGTTTTTTTCTTCTTTCTTCTTCTCTCTGCTACTCCTTCCTCACCGATTCTTTTTTTTTTTTTTCTGATTCGTCTCTGATTAGTAGTCTCTTTTATTTTTTAAGCAATGATGACTTTTTTGTTGTTGATCGCTGTCTGTTTTTTTTTTGATAAGTAATGCTCCGAACAAAATACATTTATTTCTTTTTATTGATATTGATGGAATTAAACGTTTAAAAAAATTATACAAACAGATAAAAACTCAAAACTTAATGCATTCGATACATGTGAAATTTTTTTTTTTTGCTAGTTGATACATGTGAAATATGAAATTTTTATTGTTATAGATTGTTTAGAAGTAATTAAACTAAATTTTTTTTTTTTTTTAACTGTTCGCTTCGCTTCGCTTCGGTAAAGCGTATCACTTCGCTTCTCGCTTCTCGCCAAGGCATTAGGAGCCTTGGTCGCTTCGGTTTGCTTTACGCCTTAAATAACACTGGGATCCCATACATCAGAATGGACTAATTCAAATGGATTAGACACACAATTATTGACTTTAGACTGAAATGACACACGGTGATGCTTACTAAGTTGACAAGCTTCACAAGACAAAGACGACACATAACTAAGACTGGGAACTTGGCACTTCAGATTCTGGAGAAAGGGATGTCCAAGACGACAATGCCATTGAAAAGGAGAAAACGAGGTCTGTAAAGCTCGGGTAGGTGAATCAAAGTCAAGGTAATATAGACCACAGCTTCATGCCCCGTACCAATCTTCTTCTTTGTCTTGAAATCCTGAAAGACACAATAAGAGGGATAAAAAGTTACAGAACAATTGAGAGAACGAGTAATCTTGCTAATGGAAAGTAAACTAAAAGGAAACTGAGGAACAAATAACACAAAAAATAGGGACAAATCAGGACTCAAGTGAGTAGTCCCCAGACCTGAAACCTTAGAACAAGTACCATTAACAAGAGTAACACTACGTGTAGAAGTAGCAGACTGATAAGTAGAAAAA